GGACTGCCCTGACTTGCCTCTCAGGAGGCGCCATAAGGGTACAGGTGGCTGGGCATGTAGAGCATGACCTGTGGTTATTCCTTGCTCATTAGCAATGTTGGTGCACCTCATTATCTGTTTCTTTTCCCCGAGCAGTCCTGTCAGTCAGTTAATCCACCAAGCTCTTAGGCAGTTTACAAGTAGAGGCAGGTATCTTTTTTTCTTTCCTTTTTTTTTTTAAGGATTTTATACTACATCTTGTTTAAAGTCCTATGAATGTATGTGTGTGTTATTAAAATGGCTTTTTCTCAGTTTGAACATGTGTTTGGAAGTATTTGTTTGGGAGTGGGGGGTGGTTAAGTATCTGGAATGTCCTGTTTCTGCCCCTGCCCCATTCCCTGTGTTTTAAACTAATTTCTCCTCTTTTTCATCTTACCTTGGATTCTCCACTCAGATTTTCAGTTTGATGACTCCTGTCTCTGAAATACTTAACAGCCATAGTTGTGAGGGCTGAATGAGCTAATGCATGACAAGTTTACTTTTAAATAACGCAGTTAAAATAATTTATTTGCTATATACTTTGCAGCCAGGAATTCAGTAACCTCATTCTTACATTACCTCATCTATTATGTTCAACAACTGTTGAGTCCCTGCTACCTGCTAGGCACCCTTTAGGATTCGGTGGTTAACAACACATAGTTCTCATGAATCGTACCTTCTGCTGTCCAGGTGAAAATACTTTCTGTTACTGAGCAAAGAGGGCTGGAAAAGAATTCCTTTGCCCGGGCCCCCTTGTTCCAGTCTAGGAGAGGCCATACAGTGCAGACGCTCAGGATCACTTCCAACCTGCCAGGCAGATACAGCTCTGGATATGCCAGTGCGGAGAGACATAGGTTGACCCCTCCTCACAGGAGCATTTATTCTTATGAGGTCATAGGAGGGCTAGGCATGGTTGCCAGAGGCCTCGGGTTCCAGAACCATCTCAGTATTTCTTCCTTCTGACATGCTAGTGAAAAAAAAGACAGCTTGTGAGCATTTTTTCTCCTGCAGTAGGGTGGAGAGGTCTGGGTGTGACAGCCCAAGCAAAAGCAGAGGCATTACCTAAGAACTTACTGGGAGGCAGGCACCACAGCTTTGTACAAGTTAGGGGCCTTGACTTTGCCCTTCATCTTGACCTCAGGTCCCAGATTCACCAATGTTTATTCCTTGGCAAGTTACTTAGTTTCTGAGTCTTAGTTTCTTCACCTGTTAAACGGAATAATAACGGTGTCTACCTGAGGTTTGTGAGGACTAAGTGAGCTAATATATGAGAAGTGTTTAGCTAAGTCCCTGGCATATAGCAAGAACTCAATAAATGCTAGCTATTACTATTTAGCTCTAAGATGAGGCTCTTCCCAGATCTCAAAATTGATCTTAAGGCACTTGGGCTTCCCTGACATCTGAGCAAGCCATATTTTTTTAAAATTCTGTGCGTTTTATTCCTTCTGACACACACAGCCCCCAGAGACCTCTCTGTTCAGCTGTCTGCTGGTAAAAATCAAGTTTGTGACTTTTCAAAACCCAGCATGCTGAAGCTGAGAAAGGGGTGGTGGGTGGTGATTTTCCAGCATTTGTGGACATGTCCTGACACTCCCTTCTTGCTAACCATTTCCCAGGCTGGAGTCAAGAGAGGTCAAACTGGAAGGCCCAGCTTTGGGTCTGACTCCAAGACGACTGGCAGGGAGGAAAACTTAACAGGCAAAACAGGCTTCTGAGGCACAGTGGAACAGTGAGACTACAGCATTATTGCATTGGTGACAGTCCCTACTGAAGAAGCAGCTCAGCTGTAATGTGGCCAAAGTAAAGATCACACTACCTAAAGGGAGAGTGCTGGGCAAACCAGAGGTGATGGCAAGCAGGAACAACTGCTGCCACAGTGAACAGCAAGCAAGACAGCTTGACTAGGCCAGAGTTCTTTTGCCTCAGGGAACCTCTGCTCAAATTTCAGTTCATACCTACCCTCTACACCCAGGATCTTTGCTACAGCAAGTAACGGTTCTGTGCAAAGCTTGGAGCCAAACACTGGAGTGTAGATGGCTGAGATCAACCAGCACTGCCCTCAGCCACTTTCCTACAAGAGTTGGGGAGAATAGCCTAGCAGAAACAAAACCTACATTTGTGTTCTGTTTATGAAGTACACCAAAAGGTTTTCAAATGGGATCCTCTCACAACCACCTAGTGAAACAGCCAAGGTAGTGACTTAGGATGAGTAACAACTTGCTTAAAGAATGACCTGCCTTGTGTCCCAGGACACACATTCATGGCTAGGTTAAGATTAATTTCTTGGTTTGTTTTCAGGTCTCTTCCCATGTCCATCTTCTCTTTATTCATATTTTATCAACTTGATTTGCAAAGAGTTATCAAAGGGGCTTCCAGTAGAAAGTTATATTAATTGCCATTACATCTGATAATTTCGTTAGGTTCAGAGATTGAAATGGATGGATAGCAGAGAGAAATGCATTGTGGTTGGAATCTATGTTATCAGAGGAACTAAAGTAACTGCCCAACTCTATTATAGCAAGTGCAATGCTTGAACTCAGCATTGTGATTTAGACATTTTGCTCACTTGAAAATATGTGAGGTTCTGAGTCTGCCATCAGAACACCTTAGAGGAGAAAGGCAAGCCCAGCAGAGAATAGGTGAGTGGGATGCCGAACCTGCCACCAAATCACTTTGGCCTACTTTGCCACCACCTGCGGTATATAAAGTCGCCACTGTGAGTTCTGTGAGAACACAAGAAGCTGCGTCCCTTAGCCCACTGGGGCCCCCTGCAGTTTAATTTCTCTCCTGTCTGGTACTACAGGGCTAGCAGTCTTCTGGGGCCCCCAGCCCACTTTCCCACAAGGACTGCAGATTTATTTCTCTTAGCCATGTCTTTCCCAGTCTTCCCAGCTTGGACTTCCTTCCTCTGTCAGCTCTTTCAGAATTTCTGTGGTCTTTTCCAAACCGCTGGCTGACTTTCCCTCCTATTACCTACTAGGAACACTCCCGTCTGATCAGATCAAATGCACCTTCCTCATGCCCTTTGCCTACTCCCCAACACAAACCTACGCATTTCTGCCTTTGCTCTGATCATACCCCTTCAGGCTTACTTTGCTCCCCTCTTCTCAGGCTTTCCCAGTCCTGCTTGTCCTCTCGGTAAACCAGAAGAATTTCAAGGCAAGTTATTTAATCTCTTAGAGCCTGTTTTCCCATCTATAAAATAAGGTTGTTAATCCTTATTTTATATGGAATGAAGATACAATAAAAAAAAAAAAAAAAAAGCTGGCAGTCTTTGTAGATGTGTGTGTACACTTGAAGCATTTGTCCCCAACTACCTCCCCCTCCACATACACACATCCTATTTGCAGAGTGCTGGGGGAGGTGGAAGTGTGATGTGGGCCCTGCTGTCTAGTGACACACGGCAGCCCAAACTACGAGATTGTATGTGAGGACGTGCCAAACGGAGCTTTGGGGACTTAAGAAAAAGAAGGAAGACGTGTCTTTCTCTGGGTCCCTTCAAATGACAGAGCCTCTTGAATCCTGTTCACCTGCTCTCTGGCCAGTGCTCATTTACCTGTTCCCCAATCCTCTGTCTCTCCAGAGCACAGATTCCTAAGCACATGAAAGAGTTACCTGTGTGGCCTTCATCATTTTGGTCCTGCTATTGTGACTATATCATTACTGTCATGGATGAGAGAGGGAGGATCAGGCCAGGTCATGTCTAGAGCTCAGGGTTGAGCCAAACCCTAGAAGGGTCTTTAATAGTAAAAGACGAAAGATTTATACGATCTGGAGAGAACCCAGAGTATGAGGGGTCTTTAATAGGCTGTGGGAAGGAAGCATGGCTCAAGTGGAGGGGAAACTGAAGAGCCAAAGTTTGCATGGGAGGCCCATCCTAGCTCAGTTAAAGGAGTTGGGGAATTGATTCTGAGGATGCTTTCTAGAGTGCTGCTGCATAAGGGGATTGAACCTAGGAAGGTCAGGATATTTTATTGCCTAGGAGGAGTTCACTGAAAGATCTGGAGTAAGAAACGTGTCCAAGGTGAGCTGGAAGGGAGGTAGGTGTCTGAATGACCCAGTCCCTCAGGATGTGTACCCCAGTTATGTCTAAGATTTGGCTGAGTGGACATGTACAGATGGTTGTGGCTTATTTATCCAGAAAACCAGAATTTTCTGTGTGCATTTCTGGTTAAGCTGTTACTTCATCCCTTCACACCTGACTCCCCCTTCACCCACCCAGGCCTCAGGCTGAAGGACCAGGCGACAGCGATCGTGAGCTGAGAAGACCCTGTTCTGTGTTCAGAGCTGCCCCAGCACTTGGTCTCCCCCTAGTGTGGCTCTCCGCACCCTATGCAGAGAGCACAAAGAGGTGCCAGAAGCTCAAGAAGTGAGGACAGGCTTTCAGTCCCACGGGCTTTGGGAGAATTTTAAGGCCCCAGAGGACAGGTTTGCTTGTCTCTAGCAGGAGTAAAGTCGGAGGAATCCTAGGGCTAGAGGGAGAGACGGTGGGCTGTGAGCCGTTGAGGGCACGCAGTGTAGTGAAACCACCACCAGGGGGCAACACCAGGGCCTGGGACCTTGGGGGCGGGGGACGCCATCGCCCTTAAACCTTCTCTATTGTGTAGGGTGGGGGGGGCCAAAGGAGAAAGAGCATCGCCCTTCTCTGCACCCCACCCTGTCGGCCCCACCTCCCTGTCCCGCCTTCCAGGCCCCGCCCGCGGCTCCGCCTCCACCCCCGCCCCGCCTCTGACCGCGGGCCCCTTCATCCTGCAGCTGGTGCTTTGGGGCCCAGAGCTGTGCGTCGCTGTCTCTATGGCCCAGGATCCCAGCGCAAAGGTGAGAGAGGCAGGGGGTGCGGGCGGTGGCGGTGCTTCGGCCAGGGTGCGGGTGCCGGGCCAGGCCTTCTTCTCATCCTTTCCACCCTCCTAGCTGGGCCAGGCCTTTTTCACCGCCAAGTCCCCCAGTCCCTCATAAAGGATGTAAAGGGGCGCGGGTGAGGCCTCGGGCCGCGCTGGGCGCAGACCCACCAACCTGGAGTCGGGGATCAGCGCGCAGAACCGGGGCCGCGTGGCGAGTAGTGTTCCCCAGGATCTGGGTCACGTCTCCTGGCGTCCGGCAGGATAGAAGGAGAGCTTGTCCTCGAGCTGCAGCAGTAGAAACTGAGGTTAGACCCGAGGAAAGCAGAGAACCCGGGAGGAGATGGTGGAAGGAGGTACGGGGGAGGGGCTCACAGGCCAGGAGAGACCACCATCATACTGGGCGGAGGGAAATACCTCCTACACTAAGCAGGTGGACATCGAAGGTTGAGAGCCTGCTGATTCTACATTGATCTTGTTGGGGGGGATGGGTTTCCCCTTCTCAGTTCCCTCTCCCTAGGATCTGCCTAGTGGGAAGGTGATCAGAGTCTAGGGAGCTGGCACTGGGGAGGAACCCAAACTGTGGAACCAGGAGTGGAGTGTGGGGTGTAGACTGGAGACCTTGAAGCCTGGTTGCCCCTTAGCTTTGCCCTCTCTCCCAACAGGTTTTAAATGGGGGCTGAGAGCTCAGGCCCAACTCCCATAACTAGAACTGCAGCATACAAGGGAGCAGAGGAGTGCCAAGTTATCCATTCTCTTTCCTTTGCTAAAACGAGAGGCTTCCTTCCTTTCCTGCAGAGCAGCCTTGACCCATGCACCCATTCCATTTGAGGATCTGAGGTCAGAAGCTTCCCCCATCACACACACACACACACACACACACACACACACACACACACACAGAAACACATACTTGGAATCTGGCCTTAGAATTGGGACACTGGGGAGGGAGGGAGGGCTGTGCTCTTTATCTTACGCTTCATGGACACTGGCAGCCCCCAAGTCTGCATTAGAACTGGACCCCTGTATGTACATATGCTTGTCTCTGCGTAAATGTAATTGTGTGTTTGAGGGCTGCGAACACACATGTACTTGACCCTTTTGTGAACGTAATAGTGCCTGACCCACTGTATCAATGAGTTTGTGTGCATGTCCCTCCATATATGTGTATATGTGCAGGACCCTCCTGCAAATAGGTTTACAATCCTTTCTATGCATGTGTGAGTTTATAACTCTCCTTGTCAACTTCTGAGGCTGTGTGACCTGCTGAATGAATGGGCATAGGAATATAACTTTACATGTGAATATATAGGAACACATGTGGTAGGCCCTTTGTGTGAATATATGTATGTACAAACCTCCCTGTGTGTGTGCATGAATCTCCTGTGAGTACACGTGTTCACAGACCTCCTGTGCATATGTATGTGTGTGTGCACCTGTTTGCACACACATCAGCCTCCTCTGGACACATGTGACTTGTGTAAATCGGTGTGAGTGTGCCATGTACCATACTCTGAGTGGTTCCTCTGACCTGGGGTGTGTTCATCCTGCCCAATCCTAGGGACTCATTCCTCTTCGCCATAGGGCTCCCGCCTCCTGCACTGAGCAAATAAGAGGACCCAAAGGTAAACAGGTGTGCCTCCACAGCGAGGGGCGGCGCATGGGCAGTTTGCCTGGGTCCTCCTGCTGCCCCAGCCCCCAAACCAGTAACTGATGCCCTTTCTGTGGGCCAGGGACCCTCTTCCCTCTATTCATACAGCATTCTCCCGCTCTGGGCTCTGTCCACTACACTGGTGAACTTTACCTCTTGAATAAATGCTCTAAATTCCTGTTCTCCCTCTGGCTAGCTCCCACTCTCCCCTCTCTTCAAGGCCACATAGTTAATCTTTGACTTGGAAGGGTGGGGAGAGGCCAGTGACCCCTCTTGGCCCTGCCTGTGAACATCCAATGAGAATGGGTGGGTCAGCCTTTCTCCACACCTAGCCCAGCTGAGGAAGCCTTCGGGAGCCACCTCAGAGATCAGGCCAGTTACAGTGCTCGGACGCCTGCCACCTACCCGCCACACCATTCCCAGCTGGTTGGGTTGAAGGAACATCCAGATGTGGGAATAGTCTCCAAGATATACCAGGAGAGGTGACCAAGAGCTCAGGGATCCCATCATTCCATGTTGCTCATGTCTCTGTTAACTGGACTTGCACATTAGAGCCTCTTGCACAGATGCTACACTCATGCTGCCAGGGGGCCAGATGCCCCCCCTGTGCTTGCGAGTGCCTGTTTGCAGGTAGGGGCATGTGTAGATGCCTAGTCAGAGGGAGTGGTGCACTCAAATGGAGAGGGCAGAGATGTGCACCCCCTCAGAGAGGAATGTTGAGAAGAAGTGTCTAATTAAAGAGAAATTCCAGAAGGAGCTCTCAGGCCAGGGAAAAGAAAAAACAAAGGGAAAACAGGGCAAAATAAACAAAGGCCCATTAAATGTCTCTGCCCAGGCCTTCCTGCATAAGGCACCCCCGCAGGCAGCAAGGGCAGCTGCTGCCCAGTGGGGTCTCATTGTTGGGAGGAGAAGGCGTTCTCCCTGAGAACCCAAGCTCCACCAAGATAGAGGGCTACCTAAGCTTCTAACTTGGTCAGAGAAGGGTTATTGCCTTGGGTTTAGGTTGGGAGGAGTCCAGGGTTTTATAAAGAGGGCAAGTTCCACCCAACTTCCTGCATCAGAATGACTGAGTCGATCCTGACATGGCTGTTCTGCGGATGCTTGGCCTCCTCCCTTCAGTACCCCCTGAAGTCTGGGGATAATGTCATTTACCTTCCACCCACACATAGATCAAAGGGCTTTTTTTCCTTTTTTTTTTTTTTCCTTCAGAAACCAGACCTCAGAGAACCAGGACTAGCCCTGCTTTCAAGGCAGGGTAGCCCCATCAGTGACCTACAACCCCTCCATGACCCCACAACTCCCTTTCAGCATGGAGTTTGTATTTGAAGCAGACAGGCAGCAGGTGATCCTCTGACCTCTTACCTGGGATTCAATGGCCACGCAAGCCTATGGTTCCATGTCCCCCCAGTTCCAGGACCCTCCCTGGCCCCATGACCCCTGACCTTCCAAGTGACCTCCCTGGACCTTGACCCCTGTGACTATTCTTCCCATCATCCCCTTGACTCTGGCCCTGGCTCCCCTTTGGGGTCTTGTTGGTCTGGGCTTCCCCAAGAAGATGTGGGGGAGGCTCTGGCCCCTCCTCCTGAGCTTCCTCACAGCAACTGCAGTTCCCGGACCCTCACCACGGAGACCCTCCAGAGAACTAGATGCCACCCCTCGGATGACTATCCCCTATGAAGGTTAGACTGACCTCCCCTTGCCCCACCTCAAAAGACAGCAGGAGCCAGGGCTGGGGGTGGGAGGCAGCTCCAGAAATGGGCTCACAACTCCTGCTCTCCCCAGAGCTTTCTGGGACTCGGCACTTCAAGGGCCCAGCCAAGAACTACTCAACACTGCTGCTGGAGGAAGCCTCAGCAAGGCTGCTGGTGGGGGCCCGGGGCGCCCTGTTCTCTCTCAATGCCCACGACATAGGAGATGGTTCTCACAAAGAGGTCAGCCCCTGGGACCTGGGCCACCCAAAGGGTCTCTCGTTTCACCCAGCTCCCCAGGACCTCAACTTCCTGGGAACCCTGCCACCCTTCCATAGCCCCCTGGTCAGACAGTGCTGCCCTTCCCAGCCCAGATCTCCCTTACACCCAATGCTCCTCCTGAAACTGACCCCACCCCAATTTTCACAGTTCCCTGAGGTCCTATCACCTGGTCCCGCAGGTAATGGGAGAAGGCAAGGGTCTTGGGGCCAGTACATCAGCCTTTCTTCCCTTTTCCCCGCTCCAGATCTCCTGGGAGGCCTCCCCAGAGATGCAAAGCAAATGTCATCAAAAAGGCAAAAACAATCAGGTATGTGGCCTGCCCTGTCCCCAGCTCCTTTCCTCCTCCTCCCCAGTTGTGGATGTCAGGGTTGGGAACACAGGTGGAGAGGTAGTGATCAGCCAGTCAGTTGCAGCAATACCACAATAAACATTGTAAGTGCTACTCGAGTGGCAAGCCCCAGGCACAGCGCTTCTAATCCAAACATCTGGTGACCTATTAGCTTGGTCTATGATGGCATCTTAATTTCCTCTGGGCTCCCAAATACCAATCATGATAACAGTAATTAATCTCTAGTAAGTGCTGATTTAGCTATTATCTCACCTAATTCTAAAATAACCCTGTGCAATGGTACTATCCTCCATTTTAGAGATGAGAAAAATGAGGCTTTGGTCCAGGACTAGCTCAAGTACCCAGTATTCCATGGACGGGTGTTGGCGAAGCGTCAGCTCTTTCTGGCTAAAGAAACGCTGTCTGCAAGGGTCCCATGTCTGGCTATGTAACAGATCCTTCTGTAAAGCTGTTTAAAAATACACATTCCCGCCCTGGGGGGCGTGGATCAATGGATTGAGTGCCAGCCTGGGAACCAAAAGGTCACCAGTTTAGTTCCCAGTCAGGCTACATGCCTGGGTCGTGGGCCAGGACCCCAGTTGGGGTCATGCAAGAGGCAACCAATTGATTGCACATCGATGTTTCTCTCCCTCTCTTTCTCCCTCCCTTTCCCTCTCTCTAAAAATAAATAAAATTTTAAAAAATGTTAAAAACACATTCCCAAGGTCCACCAGCCCATGGATTCTGATTCAGTGAGTCAGGGTTGGGGGCATCGCATGGGTCAGAGGAGGGAGGTCTGAACAGGCTGGTGGAGAGGAGGGATGGATGCCACCACTGCACCCAGGGAGGGAGCAGGATGGGCTGGACCCTTCTTTGGCTAAAGAGGCCTGCATGGATCCAAACCCTGGGAACTGGCAGGAGGAGGAATCGGTAACGAGGCAAAGAAGAGGGCAGCAGCTTAATGCATTGGATGGGCAGGGAAAGCCCGTGTGGCTGGAGCAGCGTGAATGCGGCCAGGGTAAGGGGCAGGGCCCGGGGCATGTTGGACCCTTTGTTCAGGACTCTGGTGAGCTGCCAAAGGGTTTTTAAATATAGCAGTGACATGATCTGGTTTACATTTTTTAAAATATGCCTTAGAAAGTGGGTTGCAAGAGAGTGCAGATTGGTAGTCTATCTCTGGAAGGAAACTCCAGACAATGCTAACAGCTGTCTCCTTTGAAGGCAACAGGGATAAAAAGGATACTCTGTTTACACCATATCCTTTTGTACCTTTTGAATTGTACACTGGGTACATGTATTCCTCATTCACTGAATAAATAAGTCGTTTTTTATAGAGAGTGGCTGAGGTTTGGGAGAGCTGTCAGGGGGTCGCTGCAGTGGTTTGGGGAAGAGGCGATGGTGGTAATGATTTGGACTAGGGTCGGGGCAGTGGAGGGGAAGCGGACCAAGTCAAGAGATATTCAGGACAACAAGACATTTAATCAGGAAGCAGGACTGAATGTGGGGGCGAGGGAATGGGAAGCAACAACGATGACTCCTGGTTTCTGGGCTGAGTAGGACGCACAGAGGAAGAGAGAAGGGAAAGACTAGATGAACAGGTTTAGGAGGGAACATCAGGTTAGGGAATAGTTTGCTTTCTGACAAGGTGAGTTTGATGTGTCTGGGATATTGGGTGGAGAGAGGGCTGGAGCCTGAGGATAGATTAGGTAGTGTTACCCCAAAAAGGGTGTGGGAGCTCCAGGGTTGGGGGACAGTGGTGGGAAGATGTGAGAGAAGCGTCGTAGGGTGGTAAGAGCCTGCGAGCACCTGAACTGAGGGTGCAGGAGATGCAGGAGAAGCTGGCAGAGTGTACCATGGAATCCAGGACATGAGGAGAGCAGTCATGCCACAGGGAAGCCAAAGGACAGTGAGTACCAGGGAGTGTTCTACGTTCTGGGCAGTGAGAAGGCCCACTGGGATCTTGGAAAGAACTGTTTTCCTGTGAGTGGGAATAAGAGCCAGGCTACCAAGCGGGGCTAATGGAAGAGGCCTCTAATGAGGCCCGGGGCTCACAGCCCTCCCCCGTCTATCCCACAGACGGAGTGCTTCAACCACGTGCGATTCCTACAGAGGCTCAATGCCACCCACCTCTACGCATGTGGGACTCACGCCTTCCAGCCCCTCTGTGCAGCCATTGTGAGTATGCCTGCCCCAGCCCTGATCACTGGTCCCTGACCCCAGACTGGTCTGACCTTGGGCTCCTGCCTGTCCTTGGAACCACTGACTTCTGAATTCTCATTCCCCCAGGATGCTGAGGCCTTCACCTTGCCAAGCAGTTTTGAGGAGGGGAAGGAGAAGTGTCCTTATGACCCAGCCCGTGGCTTCACAGGCCTTATCATTGGTGAGCGTGCCCTTCTCCCTTCTCCTCACAAGAATGCTGTTTGAGGGACATGGATGTCATTGCCAGAACTTGCCACCGTGTGTGTTATGTGCCTTGTCGTGTGTGAAATGTCTCACGCCGGGCATGTCCCTGCTCCAGATGGGGGCCTCTACACGGCCACACGGTATGAATTCCGGAGCATCCCTGACATCCGCCGGAGCCGCCACCCACACTCCCTGAGGACTGAGGAGGCGCCCATGCACTGGCTCAATGGTTAGGAGGATGAGGCACAGGATGGTGGGGGGCGCAGGGGACTGTTTCTTCATCTTTATTTGCTTGGACAGTTGACCATCCCATCCCCACAGCCCCAGGTGAGGCTACCTATTCCTGTGTATTGTTGAGTGAGGGGTAGGGGTCAGGGGGAGAGACACCCAGCCTGTCTCAGAAGCCACCTGAACTGCCTGGCTCACAGATGCTGAGTTTGTGTTCTCCGTCCTGGTGCGGGAGAGCAAGGCCAGTGCAGTGGGGGACGATGACAAGGTTTACTACTTCTTCACGGAGCGTGCCACTGAGGAGGGCTCTGGCAACTTTGCTCAGAGCCGCAGCAGCCACCGCGTGGCCCGCGTGGCCCGTGTATGCAAGGTAACTAGGACTGAGGGCGGGGCACGGGTGGAGAGGCTGAAGTGCGGCCCTGGCCCCTGACCCATGCCCCTACCTCTCCAGGGGGACCTGGGAGGGAAGAAGATTCTGCAGAAGAAGTGGACCTCCTTCTTAAAGGCGCGTCTCATCTGCCACATTCCACAGTATGAGACACTACGTGGTGTCTGCAGCCTGGATGTTGACACCTCAACCCGCACCCACTTCTATGCGGCCTTCACGCTGACCACACAGTGGTCAGTGCAGGGACAGTGGGGAGGCAATAAACCGGGGACAGCATAGGGGCTGCAGCAGAGGTCAGTGAGGATGAGACAGGGTCCACTGTGGGGGGGGCTGGCTGCAGAGAGTTTCAAGCATATCCAGCCAGCCCGGGGCCAGAGGCCACAGTGGCCTACTGACCCTCAGGCACCCCTGTGGCCCTAGAGCTGGGATTGACCAGGGTAACAGTGGGCTCCAGGCTGGGCAGGTGGCAGGTGGGCAGGCTCCACCCAGTGTGACTCAGCCCTCTCCCCTATGTATTATCCCCAGGAAGACCCTGGAGGCCTCAGCCATCTGCCGCTATGACCTGACCGAGGTGCAAGCTGTCTTTGCAGGCCCCTACATGGAATACCAGGATGGTGCCCGGCGCTGGGGCCGCTACGAGGGTGGAGTCCCAGAGCCCCGGCCTGGCTCAGTGAGTGCCCAGGCTTGGGATCAGTGCTCGGTAGACAGGACCGCTAGGAGGGACAGGAGGGCCTGGCCTTGCGGGGAGGACAGGCATAAGGACAGAACCCCTGGGAGAGCAGTAGGATCTTATGGGGAATCCTGAGGTTCACCACTCCTGTCCCCCACCCCAGTGTATCACAGATTCATTGCGCAGCCGAGGCTACAACTCATCCCAGGACTTGCCATCGCTGGTCCTGGACTTTGTGAAGTTGCACCCACTGATGGCTCGGCCTGTGGTGCCCACACGTGGACGGCCCCTGCTGCTCAAGCGCAGCGTGCGCTACACACACCTCGCAGGGACGCCTGTTCCCACGCCTGCTGGACCCACCTATGACCTGCTTTTTCTGGGCACAGGTGCTTCTGACCCCTAACCTGAACCTTCTGGTGACTACTGGGCCTATCCTTTGATCCCTTGTTGACCTCTAGCCCCCTTGATGTCCCTTGGTCACAAAACCCTGGTGACCACTGATGTTGATTCTTCAATGAACACTCACTATTGGCCCCCAGTGAGCGCTGGCTCTTGGTGACTGCTGACTCCTATCACCAACCACAATGACATTTGACCCCGATCACTAATGCTTCTGAACTCAATAATTCCTGCTACGAAGAGTCCAGAGTTCCCAGTGTCCTGAGGGCCCACTGCTACTGAATGTACCTTATCCCTGACCGCATGACTCCCAAGCTGGTCCCATTAGGCCAAGAGCAGACACCATTGCTGAGATCTGACCCTCTGCCCTTTTCATACTAGCTGATGGCTGGATCCACAAGGCCGTGGTCCTGGGCTCTGGAATGCACATTATTGAAGAGACACAAGTATTCAAGGAGCCCCAGTCTGTGGAGAATCTGGTCATCTCTCCGATGCAGGTAATGCTGATGCCTGAGCCATGACCCTCCATATGGCCTTGCCAGAATAAGGGGAAGGGATTGGGGAGGTTGGCCATGGGCTGTGTGTCTTCTAAGTGGGAGTGGTGTTATTGCTGACCAGCAGTCCTCTCTGGCTCCCAGCATAGCCTCTATGTGGGGGCTTCTAGTGGAGTCCTCCAGCTACCACTGTCCAGCTGCTCTCGCTACCGCTCCTGCTATGACTGCATCCTGGCCCGGGACCCTTACTGTGGCTGGGACCGCAGCACCCATGCCTGCGTGGACGCCATCACCGCAGTGAACAGGTCCCAGAGTAGCAGGTAGGAAATGGTGGGGGTGGGAGGGTGAGGGTCCCACAGGCGCAGGGACTCAGAACCTGAGGAGGAAGGCCTGCCAGCTGCAGGGGGAGGGGGAGCCAGTTGTTGGTAACAGCCCTACTGGCCCTTCCACTGGGGAAACTGAAGCCCAGTCTCCCTTGTTCATGAGCCCTGATCTTCTCTCTCTAGGATGGCACTGATACAGGACATAGAGAGAGGAAACCGAGGCTGTGAGAGCAACAGGGACACAGGTAAGTGACATTCATGGATGTGTGTGGGCCTAGCTGTAGAGCCTGTCCTCTTTACCACTTACTGTCATTTGTATGCATATATATGTATCTGACTGGCTATGTATGTGTGCTTTCAGAGCACACAAAGTAAGTGCTCAACAAACATTTGTTGCCCAAAAGAATTATAAATGAGGGAACAGGCTCACTTCCAAAGCTTACAGCCAAGTGGTGGGAGTGGGGTTGGCAATTACATGATCACACAATTAACTATAATTATTTCCATTGGGTTTTGTTACAAAAGAAATAGTTACAACAATGACAAGGGTTTGAAGGATAATGGGTACTTCCCCAAGGAAGATCAGATGACCGCGCTAATATCTGAAGAGCAAAAGTTAATAATCATAGCTAATATGTACTGAGTACTTACTGTGTGCCAGGCTCTGATCAAAAACTCACAGCATTCCTATGACAGAGATGCCATTATCATCATCCCCATGAGGGACAACCTCTCTGAGGCACACGGAGGATAAGTAAACTGCCTAAAGTTAATCAGCGGTTAAGTGGCCGGGTCAGAATTCGAACCTGCCCGCAGCAGTCTGAAGTGGAGTTGGTGCTGTTGATCACTGCTAGGCTCTCTCACCGCAAGTTACCCAGGCAAGCGAGGGCCATAGGGAGAGGGATGACACCCAAACAGAGGGAACAGCAGGCAGAGCAAGCTTGGTCTGTTTGAGCAACAAGAAAAGAGGCTGGAGAAGTGGGCGGGGACCATGCTAAGGCAGGGGAGTGGCATGATCAGCTGAGTGTTTTTTTAAAGGTCACCCACTGCTGCATGGAGAATGGGTTAGATGGGGACCAGAGTGGACCGGCAGTCGGGGCAGGGGAGAAATGAACAGCTCTGAGATATATTCCAGAAGCAGAATCTTGGGGAGGGTTACCTACAGAGGTGAGGAGGAGTGAGAGGCAAGGGAGACTCCCAGGTTTCTGACTTAAGGACCTCAGTGGCTGGTGATGACATGTCAAGGAAAAGACCTGTTGTGGGAGGGAGGCTTTGGCCTTAGTTCCTGGAACATGTCCAAGAGACCTCATGTTGATGCCCATCATGTGGAAGATATTCAAGTCTGACTCTCAGGAGAGAAGTCTGTGCTGGAGGTAGAGATTAGGCATCAATGGCAGATGGCAGGAATTGCAACCACAGGGAAGGGCCAATGTGAACCTTCTGTGGGAGCATTAAGTGCAGAGAGCTTGGACAGTTGTCACCGTGATTCCAGATTCTGTGACTGGTGCTGCGGACATAGCAGTGAGCCATCTGACTTGCCATCTCCAATGCCTTCACTGGGATTGGCAGGCATTGACTGCTCTTCCTGTCCCCTACTTCCTCCAGGGCCACCACCACCAATGAAGACCCGCTCTGTGCTCCGGGGGGATGATGTCCTCCTGCCCTGTGACCAGCCATCCAACCTGGCCCGGGCCTTGTGGCTGCTCAATGGGAGCCTGGGCCTGAGCGATGGGCAGGGTGGCTACCGTGTGGGTGTGGATGGGCTGCTGGTGACAGACACACAGCCTGAGCACAGTGGCCACTATGGCTGCTATGCTGAGGAGAATGGCCTTCGCACCCTGCTGACCTCCTACAGCCTCACAGTGCGGCCAGCCACCCATGCCCCGGCTCCAAAAGCCCCTGCCATGCCCGGGGCACAGCTGGCACCTGATGTCAGGCTCCTCTATGTGCTAGCCATCGCTGCACTCGGTGGCCTCTGCCTCATCCTGGCGTCCTCCCTCCTCTATGTGGCCTGTCTTCGGGGAGGAAGACGAGGGCACCGACGGAAATACTCGCTGGGTCGGGCCGGCAGGGCAGGGGGCTCTGCTGTGCAGCTGCAGACAGTCTCAGGCCAGTGTCCTGGAGAGGAAGATGAGGGTGACGATGGGGAGGGGGCTGGGGGCCTGGAAGGCGGCTGTCTCCAGATCATCCCCGGGGAAGGAGCCCCAGCCCCACCTCCTCCACCACCCCCACTGCCACCGGCTGAGCTGACCAATGGGCTGGTGGCGCTGCCCAGCCGTCTGCGTAGGATGAATGGCAACAGCTATGTGCTCCTGAGGCAGAGCAACAATGGAGTACCCGCAGGGCCCTGCTCCTTCGCGGAGGAGCTCAGCCGCATCCTGGAGAAGAGGAAGCACACGCAGCTCGTAGAGCACCTGGATGAGAGCTCTGTCTGAGCTCAGCCTCCCAGGACAAATGCTCTTCCAAGCCAGCCTGTCTGCCCCAGGCTGGGCCGCTGCCTCCCAATACAGCCACCCACCTTCACCACCCCCAACTCCAGGCCCTTCCAACTTTTGATGTCCCTATAGGGCTAGCCAGAGTCAGGTCCAGCCCAAGTCCCCTCCTTAATCTCCACAGACCCATCTGTGAGCAGCCCAGGCCAACTCGTTCTCCTCTGAGGTAGGTGCTCCCTCAGGTTCTTAAGCCCCAGCCCCAGTTCCTATTCTTTTAACCTAATCACTTGGGAGGAGAGGACCCTATCCTCCTTCCCCATTCATCTGCTCAAACCCTTCCTCTTTCTCCCAGGCAGGGCTTGCAGGTCCAGATGGCCTCAATGTCACCATCCTCTGCATGGCCCTATGTGTTGGATGGTCCTGATACCAGACAAGACCTCTGTCAGCCAAAAGAGCCACCTGAGCCCTGCGTACATTCACATGCCCACATGGAAGAATGTCTATCAGCTGGGCTGCAGGCCCCCCACCCCCTCTTCTGCTGCCTTCTTGTTACATCCCTTCTTCTGGACTTTGGGTACACTTTCAATTGCCACATCCCATCCTATTTAGTCCTCTCCCCTAGTCCCAGCCCCCTATGGTGACCTCTTTGTCAAGAACTTGGGAACAGACCGGCGTGGGGAGGTAAGACTGCATCATTCCCTCTTCTCCCTCAACGTGAAGCCCTTATGTGTCAGCACCCGCATCTCCTTGGTCACTCTCAAGAGAGAGACAGAGTTCTAGGCACGTCCCTCACATACACATGCTCACATTTCCACTCACGTGCACCTTATGAGCCTCCTCTTGCTGCCTTGGACCTATCAGGTCTGGTCCATGGACATTTCAGAGAGAGCCCTCTCCAGTTCAGCTGTCCTTGCAGACACTTCCCTAGGACGGGTGACGCACACTGCACTCAATGAGCCAGCCTTCCTTTTGGGGACCAAGCATTTGCTACCCCTACACCAGAGCAGAAGGAAAGATCTGATATCTCACCTGGCACATGAGCCCGTTCTTGGAACTATGCAAAGGGCAGAGGCTGGGAGTTTGGATGATTGGCTCCCACCCCTGTCCTACCTCACCGGGGCACTTTCAGGGTCCAGGGGCCTCTGAAGTCTCCAGGCCCAAATGGGACAATCAAATCCTGACTGAGCTCCCTCATTCCCTTGGGTGAGGATGACTGTTATTTTTGTAGCTGAGAACGTGGAATCCCACGGATTTTTACTGCCCTTCGCCCATCCTCTCCCACTCTACCCCACAATGAATGTATTTATTGTGAGATGGCTACACTACTTTAGGAATGCCCCCACTCACCACCCAGGTGGGCGGAATGGGCACTTGACAGTGGGGAGCCTGGGCTCAGCTCCTCCACCCTGTTGGTTAATAAATACCCTCTTTTCCCCATGGCTATGAGTAATCTGCTTGGTCTAAACTGGCCTCCCCGTGATCACCAGGGGACAGGCTTCTGAGCCTATGGGAAAGGTGCTGCAGGGTTGGTCCTGATCCACATAAAACCATATGCAGAGGAAACTGGGATCCTCAGCTTCCATCCTTGCTGCCCTGGGCAGGTACATAGGCCTTTGTTAAGGCTCTCACTATTCAATGATTATGACGACAAGGGCATGACAAAAGTACAATGGTTCAAGAATTCATACAAAGGTTTCTAGGTTTTTACCTCCTGGCTCCTTCACTCACCATCCCCTCCCCCCTTTTCTAGCTAAACCCCTAGAAGATGCTGCTCATTTATCAGCTAGCCTGAGAATCAGTTTCTCCAAGGGTCTCACCTGAATTACATGGTGATATAAAGCATTTATATGCAAGCATATATGAAGCATTGACAGACAAGACCTCTGTCAGCCTTTGATATGAAGCATTCTGAAGGGTTATTATATGTCCTGTTCTGGTTTTATAATAATGAAAAATGGGGTTATATGTAAAATATGAACACATTTTGAAGTAAGAACTCAAGTGTGACCATGGACAAGTTTATTAACCTCAGTTTTCTAATTTGTACACAAACATTCATACAGCCTAGCCTGATACCAGGTTCACAGCAGAGTAGAAGGTGCTGGCTCTCTAACTCACTGGTTTCAGAAACAGGACATCAGGGGTTCTTCAGAAACCAGCCTTAAAATTCCTAACTGTGATCTGAAGGTGCTATTATCAATTTTGATTTCACAAACGAGAACCCAGTAAGATCCTTGAAGACTCGGGTTTCAATAACATCGCCTGGATAAGAATTAAGAGACACCAAGTCACCGCCCCTCACAGTGGGCACCAAATAGAGGCAGCTCTTCTTTATCCCAAACAACAGCTTTGGCAACAGCTTTCCCTTTCGTGGGCCCCATCGGTCAGCCTGGGCTTGGAATCCCCCAAACCAAAAAAGGAGGAACCACCTTCACTGGGAACGGAGTTGGAGCAACTCTTTACTGCGCTTGCACCTGGGCTGGGGCAGAATCCTGGACCTCTCGGGGGCGCAGCCCACCGCACGTTGTCGGTTTGTTGGTGAAGGGGTGCCACTGGCCCTGTATGCTCGGGCTGTCCGTGTGGAAGGGCTTGCGGATGCGGATCACGTCCAAGCCCGACTGGTTCGCCAGCTTCTGCACCAGCCTCGTGATCTCCTCGACCGACTTGCAGTGGATGCTCTCCTCGCGCACAGCCCCGTTAACTGGCAGGAGAGAGGTGGGGGCAGTAAGAAGCAGGCGGTCAGACGTCAGTGGACGCGGGCCGAGAGCCCCGCCCCCTCAGGCCGCCCTCCCGCCCCCGCCCGGCCCCACTCACGGTATTCGGCCACGACTCTGGGCACACAGCACGGCCGCGGGTTCACGTATATTACGACACCTGGGTTCCGACGGGCGAAGTTGGCCACCTCCTGTTCCACGAACTCCCTGAGGAACCCGAGAAGGGTGAGCACCGTGACCCCTGACCCGGGCGACCTCTGCCCGGAGTCGCACCCCCGCGCGCCCTTCACCGGCTCACCTGGCACCGCGGGACGAGGGCGCGTCGCGGCTGAGGCTGAAGCTAAGACGCTGCAGCTGCTGCACGTAGCGACCCAGCCCGTTGTGGAGGACACTGGTCAGGAAGCGACTCGGGGTCCCGCGCGCCGTCATGGTTCCAGCCCCCAATCCAGCTCCCCGGCCGCCGAGGCGATGGGGCGGGACTAACACGCAGGCTTCCGGTTCCGGGGACACTGCGCCCGGGGGAGTTTTAATTCCGAGGTCTTGTTGAGTGGCGCGTGCGAGGAATTCACGCTGTGCTGCGAACGAAAGGACTGAGACAGGAGTGGTGGCACGGGGCCAGGGTTGGAGCGGCGGGATCCCGCGAGCGAAGCGGAGGGAGGCCGCGCGGGCGGGCGGAGAGGTGGCGCGGAGAGGGGCGGGAGCCACGCAGTGGCGCCCTTGTCGTGTCTAGTCCACTCTGAGGGGAGGAGCAGCGAAAAGGGCCACTAGTAGGGATCTAGAGCAGAGAGGCTGTAGAAAGGACGCCGACGGCTGTAGAGATGAGGACAGTGAAGAGACTCCGTGGAGGGCAGTAGCGGCGCAAAGATGATGTGGAGAAACCATAATCAGTGAGGGGCTGCGATGGGAGAAGCTGTAAAGGGCAAGAGAAAGAGAGGGAGCCAGACAGAAGGACAGGAGTGTGAAAGGGTGGTGTAGAGGGGCTTGGAGGGAAGTAGCAATGTACAAGGGCTGAAGAAGATTCAGAGAGATGTTCATGAGGGAGAAGTTTGGAGAAAGAGAGAAGCCACCTAGAGTGAGCTCTTAGAGTGCTGTGTGGAGGATCCCTAGGCTCTGACGTATTGAAAGCACCTGAACCAGGCACGTAAGGCATTGCAAGTAGGGACTTTCTCCTTCTGACTAGGGATGTGGGTCCTTCTGCGAAGTGGGTACCCCCTTCGTATCCTGCTGTCCCTGCGTGGGGAGTGGATGGGGAGGAGGGGCCTGCCTCGAAGCTTGACCCCAGGCCCTCCTCGCAGACGGTACAGGAAGGAGGCTCTCCCTGCTACAGAGGTACCAGTGTTGCCTGTAACTACAACGGAAATCCGCCAGTATTTGCGAGCACATGGGATCCCCTTCCAGGATGGCCACAGCTGCCTGCGGGCACCCAGCCCCTTTCTGGGGGCCTCGAAGCTCAAGGGCCAGACTGGTGACACCACTTCCTTCAGCCTCTTCATTGACAAGACCACAGGCCGCTTTCTCTGCATGACAAGCCTAGCAGAAGGGAGCTGGGAAGACTTTCAGGCCAGTGTGGAGGGACGGGGGGATGGAGATAGAGAGGGGATCCTGCTTAGTGAAGCCCCAAAAGCTGAGGACATTGAGGAGACCCGAAGGATCTGGAACCGAGCAGTACCTCTCTGGGAGCTTCCTGAGCTAGAGGAGGCCCAGCTGACTCGTGTGATGTTTGGGCTCACCAAAGTTACAGATGACACACTCAGGCGTTTTAGTGTGCGGTATCTGCGGCCTGCTCGGAGCCTTGTCTTCCCTTGGTTCTCCCCAGGAAGTTTGAGATTACGGGGCCTGAAGTTGCTACAGGCTGAAGGCCAAGGGGATGGAGTGCGCTATGTGGAGACCACCATACCCCGGCCTGGTGCCTACCACAATCTGTTTGGATTATCACTGATCAGTCGTCGAGATACTGAGGTGGTACTGACAAGTAGTGAGCTGGACAGCCTGGCCTTAAACCAGTCCACAGGACTGCCCACTCTTACCCTTCCCCGAGGAACGGCCTGCTTACCACCTGCCCTGCTCCCTTACCTTGAACAGTTCCGACGTATTGTGCTCTGGCTGGGGGATGACCTTCGATCCTGGGAAGCTGCCAAGTTGTTTGCCCGAAAACTGAACCCCAAGCGATGCTCCTTGGTGCGGCCTGGGGACCAGCATCCCTGTCCCCTGGAGGCCCTGAACCGAGGTTTAAATCTTTCTCGAATTCTGCGTTCTGCCCTGCCTGCTTGGCACAAGTCTATTGTGTCTTTCCGGCAGCTTCGGGAGGAAGTACTAGGAGAGCTGTCAAATGTGGAGCAGGTAGCGGGTGTTCGCTGGAGCCGCTTCCCAGATCTCAATCGTTTCTTGAAGGGACATCGGAAGGGCGAGCTGACAGTCTTTACAGGTGACCCTTTGGGAAATCAGTGCTTGGAGTGGTGGCAGAGTATCAGGTGACAAAATCATGTGGGTTTAGGCCACTGTAAATGTTAAAGAGGAGGCTTTCCCTCCCAACTTTGAGACCCTGCTCCAGGTCTTGGTTTCAAGGGTAGGACTTTCCTCCCTCACCCAGATCTGTGTTCACCCCTCCTGCAGGGCCGACAGGCAGTGGAAAGACGACATTCATCAGTGAGTATGCCCTGGATTTATGTACCCAAGGGGTGAACACACTATGGGGCAGCTTTGAGATCAGCAACGTGAGACTAGCTCGGATCATGCTAACACAGTTCGCTGTGGGGCGCCTGGAAGACCAACTGGACAAATATGATGAGTGGGCCGACCGGTTTGAGGACTTGCCCCTCTATTTTATGACTTTCCATGGACAACAGAGCATCAGGTGAGATTTCCAGGCTTAGGGTTTTCAAAGAATGGAAGGGCAGGATAACAGACCCCCGATAAAGAGTTTTTAGGATGCTGGCTTTCTGCCTGGGATGGGCTGGAGACTACTTGTAATTGATTCCTGAATTCATTGCCTCTTCCTCTTCCCAGATCTGTAATAGACACAATGCAACATGCAGTCTACGTCTATGACATTTGTCATGTGGTCATCGACAATCTGCAGTTCATGATGGGTCACGAGCAGCTGTCCACAGACAGGTGACATCCTCTTGTCTAGCTGGAATCCACTTGAACACAGATGTCTTGTCAGGCAGCTGGCCCTAGACACACACACACTGTACTGTTGTTTTCTCACATGTGTGCAGACATATCCCACCGCCTGTGTGGTTCTGTCTTTATAGAGGTGTGGGGTGTGGCAGCAGGAAGTATGGACAGGGACCTAAGTGTGAGTCCTTGAGTAAAGAGAAGTAGAGTGGGGTTATGGTGCTTTGTGGAGAGAAATGAATCAAGAGTATGTGTATATTGTCCTTCTGTCTATGATAACCTCTTGTTTTGTTGGGCTGGGGGCAGGATTGCAGCTCAAGACTACATTGTTGGGGCCTTTCGGAAGTTTGCAACAGACAGTAGCTGCCATGTAACACTGGTCATTCATCCCCGGAAGGAGGATGATGATAAGGAACTGCAAACAGCTTCCATTTTTGGCTCAGCCAAAGTAAGTGACCTTTAGCAGAGCCCATGCTTCAGAAAGGGGCGGGGGGGGCGGTGTAACCAGGGAAAGCCCTCAGTCAGCCTTAAATCATGACTTAAGGAATACAAACGCTGATAATTTTGGGTGCTTTGCCTTCCTTGCCCTCCAGGAGCTCACATTCTCTAGTTGGAAAAACAATGAGGCCCGTCTGATAAAGCTATGATAGACAGCACAAGTATTTGGGGAGCAAAGAGAAAAAACACCTGAGTCAGCCTGGGGCATCTGGAGAGACTTTCTAAAGGAGGTGTCAGCAACTGTTGGGTTGAGTTTTGGCCTTTGGGCCAAATGGGAGGGCCTCCTGGGCAGCAGGACCAGCCTGATTGTCGAGCTCCCAGTGGTACACAGAATGCCTGTTGTATGCCAGGCCTGGACTGGGCACAGACTGTGTACCATGATGGAGCAAGCATGGAGCTGGAGAAGAGAATAACAACACAAAAGTGGAAAGATGGTGCCTTCTTTATTTACGGGGATCAAGAGTAGTCTCTCTGATAAAGTGTGACATTTAGACCGAGACCTCAGCGATAAGAAGCTGGAGTTGAGTGGGATGGTAAGCTGTGCAGGAGAAGTGTTAGAAGCAGTGGGAACAGCGGGCACAAAATCTGGGAATGGCAACAAGGTTGTTAAGGAACTGAAAAACTCGTGACCCCAGCATCACGGGCAATAGTTCAGTGAGCTTTGCTGAAAAGGAAAAGTACTTCTTCCTTTCCCCATTCTTACCACTCCTCCCTGCACCCTCAACCTTCCTTTCTGCTTCTCTCATATATCTCTTCACGACTCCTTCGTTCTTTGCCCTCTTCCTCAGGCAAGCCAGGAAGCGGACAATGTTCTGATCCTGCAGGACAGGAAGCTGGTAACTGGGCCAGGGAAACGATATCTGCAGGTATCCAAGAACCGTTTTGATGGAGACGTAGGTGTCTTCCCACTTGAGTTCAACAAGACCTCTCTCACCTTCTCCATACCACCAAAGAGCAAGGCCCGCCTCAAGAAGATCAAGGATGACAATGGGCTAGTGGCCAAAAAGCCCTCATCTGGCAAAAAGGGGGCTGTGCCCCAAAACTCTGAGACTTGCTCAAGTGAGGCCGCCAGCCCTTACCAGCCAGACCCCTCCAAGCTTTCGAGGTGAAGGATGTGCAGAGCTGGACCCTGGAACAAATCTGACAGGACAGGCTGGGGCATAGACCCTTTCTTGGCCCTCTTCTAGGACCACCTCTGTCCTATGGTCCTAAGCTACAGGACCTTCTCAGTTGCAGGGGCCTGGCCTAGGGCAGGGTTCCATAGTGAGATTGGAACCCATAGTCAATTTAGCAGACATTGCAGAACCTACTGTGTGCCAGGCTTTGTTCTAGGTCCTGGGACTGTAGCACTGACGAGACAGACGAGTTTCCTGCTTCTATGGAAAATGCAGTCAGGTGATGGGACAAGATAACCTAATGGACAAATAAAACAATTTTAGGGAGTGAAAAGTGCTATTTGAGAAGTAAAATAGTATTGCCATAGTGCTTACAGGCTAGTTTAGATTAAGGTCTAAAAGGGTGTCTCTGAGCCAGAGGACATTTGAGCTGGGACCTAAAGAACTAGTATTAAGCCATGTGAACATCTTGAGAAAGGGGGATCCAGGCAGAAGTAAAAGTAAATAAAGAGGTCCTGAGATGGGAATAAGCAAGTTGAGTTCAAAGCAGTGGAGTCAGTTCCCCTGAACCTGGAGAATAGGAGACTTCTTGCCAAAATTCCAGCCTAGGCTTTCAGAGCTAAAACGTGACATGGTGGGTACCAAGCTTCTCTGCTCCCTACTCTGGAGACTGCTATGTGGTGGAACTCAATATCAGTAGATCCCAGGTGCTTGGCCCTGTAATAAAGGTGGAAGCTTGGCCAGAGAGCCATGCAATGAAGCTGTGATCCCACAGTGCTCGCCACCTGGACACTGAATGTATATACTGCTGCCTCAGACCACTTTAGTGGATACAGTCAACTTTTTGTAGAGCCTTTTGCAGTTCTGAAAAAAAAGTGTTTTTCCATTGCCTTTGTTTCTGTGCTTCCTCTTATTTGTCCACCAGGTGTCTCCCAAGTCTACAACTGGATTTTCTTCTCATTTTGAATTGGGAATGAGTGGGTCCCGTCCCCCACCCCCAGTTTTTGAGCTGTGTGCTCCCAAGGAGGCAGGAGCATTAAAGGGCCTTTGCACAGACACATCTTTTCACCTCTTCCTGGCCTAGGGGAGACATGGGGATGTGCCTGTTTACCTCTCTTTTCCCCAAGGATCTTCATGTGATCCCTTGCAGAGGTATGGGTCACCGGGCCACAAGCCTAGACTGCCTGGCCAGCTGTCCCTCTGTGATATGAGCCACTCACTGACCTCTCAGTGTGGACTCAGGCTCAGCATATTCTTATCTGGCGCTTGTCCATTTCCACCACCCTGGACCTTCGCTTCTCTTACGTTAGTGTGTATCAAAACTCCTGGGGCTCTTGTTTGAAAAAGCAAAACCTAGGCCCTTCTCTTACTCCAAGCCTCTCATGCACACACAGATATTTGTAACTCTAGAAGTTGAAGGAGAGGTATAGGATTCCTCGTTTTTAACAAGCTCTGAAGGAGATGGAAAAGAGACCCTGTCAGAAATATTCCTAAGTGACAACACTCTCATCTCACTTCCTCTGCTACTTTAAGTCCCAGTTTTCCTTTAGATTTGCCTGCAAGCATGGTGAGAATTGAAAGATGTTCTGAGGGGTCTGGGGAGAAGTCTTTTGTAAGTTTGGGGGGGTTGTTTCCTTCCTCCAAAGAAAGGCTGCCTTTCCAGGGTTTCCGTGTCAACCTAAGAAGGAGCTTCTGGGACCCTGTAGAAGAGTCTGGGGTCTTTGTTTCTTTTCCATGTGAGAACTGTGGCTACAATTGTCTCCTGAAACAGACCTGCGGCCAAGCTGTTTGTGGGGGAAGAACCTGGGGGGAGGGAAGAGAGCTCCTCCAGGGCCTCCCTTCTTGGGGGTCTCTCCCAGACTGGCTGGAGCCAGGCCTCCTAATCCCGCAGTAATCATTCCCAGCCGCTGGCTGATCTAGGCCTCATCCAAGGTCTATACGCTGAATGTCAGCCATGCCTTCCAGATGCACACCACCAGGTCGGTCCTACCTGTAAGGATGTGAGCTCCACATTCAGGTCACCCTAGAATGCCAGGTGCGTTCTAGGAAATCCTTTAGGGATTCCTATTAGGGGAACTTTGTGAGGTCTCTGTGAATTGGGGATAGAAGGCTTGCCTGTTTGTCTTGCCCCACCCTCCTAGCAAACACCCCCACACAGCACAAACCAGACCGATGGGGAGGGAAGGGACGCCAATGCCCCCTGCCCAGCCCTTCTTACACAAACATTCCGTTCCATACCTGCCACACTCCTCACATCAGGGTAAGCCCAAAATGTGTTGAGGAGTCCCTGGAGACTAGAAAGCAGTGGGGAATCCCTGAGAGCCATTCTCCCTGTACCCAGGGAAGGTGGAATGAAGCAAAGTACTCTTATGTCCAATTGGATGTGAAGGATCTCCCTGAGAGCTCAGGAAGGGCCTGGCCAAGCAGGGTCTAGCTGGATCTGCGGCCTTTCCCCAGATTCAGTATCACACTTGGGGCTGCTTTGGTCCTCCAGCAGCTTCTTTAATGTGAATGGGTTTGAGAAGGGACTAAACTCACCAGACTCCTGCTGCCCAAGTACTCAGGCTGCAAATATGGCCCAGATACCTGTAGACATCACAGGCTGCCTTAGGTGCCATGGAGGGAGGGAGCCGTAGGTGCCTCCCTGTAATACGGGCCAACTTCCTGTTTGTGCCTGTGGGTGGAACTTTATGAGTTTAAGAGAAGCCAGACTATGCTCTGTACGGGGGCCAGAATCGGCTGGCTTGCTCACCTGGGCAGACATCTATTCCAAGGGAGAGAGCTGGGTGCTGGTTCTGCTTGGGCAGCCCCAACTCGAAGTGTGTGTGGGGGGGAGGTGGGTCTGTTTTGGTGAAACCCGAGCCGCCTTTGTCTGCTTCCTAGGGGTTTTCCCTGTGTCTGGGGAGTGGGCCGAGAGTGGACCAGTTTAGGCTTCCTACAGAGCAGAAACTGGTGACAGGAAAGCCCTACAGCCAACTCGGTTAGGTCAGCCAGGTAGGTAGCTTAGCTTTTGATTACGCGCCGCTGGCCCTTTCCTCAGGTCGAAAGCCAAATCCAGTAGGCTGTGAAGTCAGAGGCCAGAGGGCAGCCTCGTGCCACCGTCGCATTAGTGCTGGGCTGGGTACTGGGTCGGCTACTGAGGGGGTGCTGGGCAGACCACTCCCTTCCTTGGGTCGGGGGCGCGGCCTCAGCGGCCCCGCCCCGCTCCACCAGGCCGGACCTGGCGGGCGCCTGGAGCCGGGAGCTGCCTTGAGAGCCGGCGGCGGGTCGGTGGCAAGGAGGTGCCGGCGCTGGAGCAGGAAACGGGCAGGAGCTGGAGCGGCGGCGCAGGTGGCACTGGGTGAGTGGTGGGACGAGGAGGTATAGGAACTCGCGCCCCGCTTACATCCCGGCTCTGGAGTAAACTTTCCTGTCTGGCGAAGCTGGGTGTTGGGATGAGGAGGGGGGAATCCCCACGCCGGGGCTCAGGCGAAGGGTCTGAACAGGGAACCCACACGGAAACTCACACAGACGGACCCACACACGCGTGCACAGAGACCCACGCACGTACTTGGGGCACACGTGCACTCAGGAAAGGACGCGCCCAGTGGGTTACTCTTGCAGTCCTTGGAGCAGCGCCACTGGCCTGCAGGGACCCCAGCAGGCAGGGAGCTCTGCTGTCGCGTACTTGATGGGAGTAGGAGAAAAGCGCTAACCGGTGATCGCTAACGGGGGCGGGCCGGGTGGGACACCTCCCGCCCCTCCGGCGGCTCCCTGCTGCCGGCAGGTGAAGACTAAGACGTAAACAGGCACCGAGCACGTGATCACTTCACAGACAGGTGAACTGTGCTTCCCCCCACCCTGGCGTTTGCGCAAGGACGTCCCTCCCCAGTCCAGGGCAAGTTTTCGGGGTCGTTTGCAGTGCCGTATTCCATTCTCCGCCTAGAGAGGTGGTAAGCCCTCCTCCAGAAATGGGACCACAACGCCCCCTGGAGTCCGGGTAGCGCAGGAGGACGGGAGACTGTAGGACTGGGGTGGGGTTACCTGTGCTCCTCGCCTTCCTTCTCGCGAACACATTCATGGTGCCTTCCTCCCTGAAGGTATCAGAGAGGGGCGCTATTCTTGATAGCAGTGGACAGCTGGCCTCCCCCTCCCCACCCCACACCTCCGGCCTGGGGAGCTGCTACGCGAATGCCCGTCGGTCCCGTTCCTATTAAGACCCCTCCTTGCAGAACTGGGAACTCCTTCCCAAGGTAGGAACAGAAAACCCACTCGCGCTGGAGTAGGAGTCCCCGTCCCCCAGAGAATGCAGCAGCGTAACCCTCCACAATACTGGAGTGGGCCTATACCCCTCGGGTGGAGGAAGGACGAGCTCCACCACCGCCACCAAGAAGGAGTGGGCAGAGGCAGTCAGCCTCCCTCCCTGCCCCACCCCCCACCCCTGCACACACGCTGAGCCCAGCTGCTGCTGGAGCTTCTGGGCAGGCTGCCAGAAAGGGGAGGAGGCTCCTGGTACCCCAGGAGGCTGGGATCAGGGCAAGGCCAGAGGAGGGGGTCTGTGCTGGAGAGAGGGGCTTGTCTGTTCCTGTGAGGCTGAGGGTCTGGGGTGAGCCTGAGGGTGGCTGGGCTATGTTTCCCTTTCCAGGGAAAAAGAAAGAAAAACAACCCTTTCCATAGAGCTAAAAATAGAGCTGAGAGCCGGCCAGGGCTGTGGCCTGGAAGGGGGCGGGGGTAAGGGGTGTGTGGGGGGAATGCTCCTTCCTGGGGCAAAGGAGCTCTGGCAGGCCTGGCCCTGGCTGGGAGGGAGGGAGGCTAGGGGGCAGGAGCCTGTCCTTGCCCAGGGGTGCTGGCATCAGCTGACCTGGCCAGGTCACAGAGACCCCTACAGGAAAGTGTGTGTGGTAGGGTGTTTGAGAAATAATATGTGTACGTGTAAGAAGTTGTGACTATGTGAATAAGACGGTCAATGTGAAAGATGCTTAGGAGACTAAGTGTGTTCCAGATTGTGACTGGGTGCGAAGGACTGCGAGCTGTGAAAGCCTGTGCGCAAGTAGCTGTGTGACTCCGAGTATGTCTCTGTGTGAGCTGGCCTGAAAGATTATGGAAATAAGGAACATGGAACCACGTGAAGAATGAGGCTCTGACTTGTGGCAGTGTTGGACTGAAGGTGGGAAAGGTCGTGTGGGTATTAAGACTGTGTTCTTTGCCAGAGGGTGGGAATATTCATGACCCCGAGGAGACAGTGGAATGTTGTCTGCTGTGAGGTTGGTGTGGGTTTGAACATGTTCACCCCAGTGATTGTTGAAGGGCCAGGGCTGCTTCGCTGAGCAGTGACCTCTCTCTCCTAGCAAATGAGTCTGAGGGAAGGCTGGGGAGCACAGAGCCGCCACTGGGGCAGGCCTGGGATCACGCGGAAGAGGAGTAGAGTAGGGGCCCCGCAGCCCCGAGGTCGGGGGACGGGGTTACTGGGTGTGTTTTCCGAGTGTGCCACCAGATGGCGCCACCTCCGCAAATCCAAGTGTGCAGCCACCTAGCCACTGGGGGTGGGGCAGGTACGGACGAGCCTTGGCCCCTTCCTAGCGCTGGGGCGCAGGGCCTGTGCCGCTGGAGAGAGTGGGTGGCAGCTGACCGTCGGCCTCCCGCTCTGGACTCCGAAGTCAGAGAGTGTGTCTGTGGCAGGGAGGCTTCGGCTAGAGGGGCGGAGGGGGCAGGGCGAGCGCCACAGCGCCTGGCCCTTTGTGCTTGAACAATGACCAGCTGCCGCTGGCCCCGGGGCCCAGGTTGGGGTTGAGGGTGACCTGCCGCTGCCGCCAAGTCCTGAGCCAGCCAAGGCCCCAGACACACAACCACCCGGCCTGGGAGGGAGGGA